TTAATTTTGGGTTGGAAAAGTGGGGGTTGTCTTGTACATGGGGGTGTCTTATTGACGGAAAAATATGGTAAATACATCTGATGCCTGGCAAAACACACTCATTGCCACAGAGACCTCCACAGGGAAAGTACAGGCCCTCCTTCTTCTTAGCTAATCCAGTGAAATTATATTCTATTGCACTATACAAAGGAGCTTGTATTTAAAAGATTTTAAATATAAATTCAAGTCATGTGGTTTATAAAATAAAAAGGAAAAAGAACATATACCTGGTTACCATCTCTTATGTAGTATCTCTTCTCTATAACCTGAAACACAATAAAAAGGAAGAGTCTAGTAAATGTGATTGATACACAATACTGTGTCATGCAGGAGAGCTTCCTAAGAACTGGGTTTCTAAGCTATATGTGAATGTGTGAGCAAGGGAGCTTGCATTTGTGCACAGGCTGGAGAGAAGAACAATGCTCCCTTGGTGAATTTGTGGAAATGGCAGGCAACTGGGGGCACAGGGGAAGCAGTAGGTGATTCAGAAGGGCAAGCAGCTGGAAACAGAAGCAGAGTCCAGCAGCCTGCAGCCAGCGAGCACTGATACAGTACAAACTTTTATCTTTCCCGGCCAGGAATAGGGAGACACCGAGGTCCCAACAACACTCAGCCTGTGTTCCATCCAGCAATCAAAGCAGCCAAACCTTGGTGCTGAAGGGTTGCAGAACTAGGGCTGAGGAGAAAATGACCTCAGTTTCTCTGCACTCCACAATGGGGAGAGCAGCTAAGCCCTGATAATTAAGACAGACATGGATGATTCAAGCCTGCCAGAAAAGAAAAATGGGGAGAGGAGAAAGAGTTGTTTATAAAAACTCATGGAAACTACAATTACAGGCAAAGTAAGAAACCCATGGAATAAGAGACATAGTAAATAAGATTTAGAAACAAACTTGTATGGATAAATCCACAGGAAACCCATACAATAAATGCACAATAAATAACATTTAGAAATAGATCTAGAGAGAGATGTTTCCAGTTTTGTTTAAAAGAAATCATTATTTTTATATAATAAATCCACCCTACAACAAAGGGGGACCAAACTTCACTTCTTGTCTGCAATCTGTACTATTTCCCAAAAAAGACCCTATCATAGTTAAACAAGGGTCAGTTCTCATCTTAACTTGGTTCATAATTTTGGGAACATCTGTTTTCCAAGCCTTTTCTCAAGTCTTAGTGTTTTCTGTAAGCATGCCTCTATATCATGCCAATAACCAACATGGGTGATTCTGTACAATGAAATTCAAATTATACTGCACCTTGGATTGTAGCAATAGGCCAAAATGTAGCATTACAGCACTGTTACCTCCATGCCAAAATACAAGTATGACTAAGTATCTCAGTTCTAATACTGACACAGCATCTCATAATGAATAAACCAACCTTCATAGTGAGGACCACGAGGAAGTTTGGTCTAGTGGTGAAGGCTCCAGGCTAGAAACCAGGAGACCGTGTGCCTTAGGCACAAAAACCAGCTGGGTGACTTTGGGCCAGTCACTCTCTCTCAGCCCAACTCACCTCACAGGGTGGTTGTTGTGGGGAAAATAGGAGGAGGAAGGAGTACTAGGTATGTTCACCACCTTGAGTTATTTATAAAAAAATAAGAAAGGCAGGATAAAAAATCTAAAATAAAAAATATGGGTGAATGCTGAGAGTATCGGTCAAGGAACCACAATTACAATAAGAGACCACAGATGTGGTTTCTGTGCATCACATATATAGGTGAATAACAAGATTACCACATGTGGAAATGCCAAAAGATGCATCTACTCAGGCATTGTAAAGGGCAGAAGGAATAACCTTGAGGAAGAGGTGGAAGAGCTGCAACCAAGACAACGGTTAGGTAAAAGAAATCTGAGTCTGGGGTAGAAATGTAATTTGAGAAAGTGTCTCAGACATGACCTTCCCTAGTTCTCATGAAGAAAAAGGGAAGGCAGGGGGGAAGCACATTCAGGCTTGCAAGATTACTATAACCTTATTATAAAAATAGTATTAGCTTGCATGTCTTTGTTTTCCAAGTTTGGTCTACCTTGGAGGGTTGACAGGCATAGATATCCAAGCAATACTTCTGGATGAATGTAAACTGACAGGGCCACACAGCAACCTGACAGATATCTTGTAAGAGCACCCTTTGGCAAAAGCAGTAGATGCTGAAGCTGCCCTAGCAGAGTAACCTTTTAAGTGCAGGTGGATCAGCTGGTAGACCAAGGTATTGGTCACCTAGCGTGAAAGATGAGTGGAAACCCACAGGCCTTGGGGCCATTGCAAGAGCTAAAAAGGCTTTCTGAAATGGTGAAGTATATTCAGTGCAGAATGTGGGGATATATAGAAACCCATTGCATGTCAACTGATGACTTAGGAAAAAAAGGTTGGCAGAACCTGAGCCAGATGGAAAGCAGTTATTATCTTTGGCAGAAAAGAGACATCTGGTATCTCTCTGCCAGATGAGATAAGATGGATCAATAAGAAGGACACAAAGTTCACTAGTATGATGCATAGAAGTAACTGGCAAAAGAAAAATCCTTTCAAGGTAAGCAAACATTAAGAATAATAGGTTTAAGTACTTTAGAAGTCAACTAAGAAAGAACCACTGAAGTGCTCTAAGAAGAAGCCCATCTCAGAAATGGGGATACATGTTACTTAAATTTAACAAAAAATTTAAAACCAAAGGATGAGAAGAAACACTGACTAATACTGAATTATTAATATGAATAGTAAAAAAGGCCACAATAAACCCATCTGAATTGGATGGCCTTTCACAGAAAGCTGAAAGAAACATTTGAAAGGAAGCCCGCTTAGCATTAAAAGAATGGAGAACAGAAGGCTTCCCAGAGGCATCAAGAACTTATTGTACAACAAGTGGCATAAGGTAGGATTCCAGGCTGTCAGGCACATATCCATAGATCTGGATGGAAGATCTGGCTATGATCTTGTGACAAGAGATGGTTGCGAAGGGGGAGATGACCCAGATACTGTTGGCTCTCAGGAGCAGTTCAGGAGACCAGAACTCCATGCACCACCAAAGAATTATAAGCGTGCACTGGGTTTGATTGTAACAGATCTTGGCAACAGTCCTGGTGAAATGAAAAGAAACAAGACAACAAGATGTAGTAAAACACTTAAATGTTCAAGAGGGAGTGGATGCAGTGGAGGTGTTCAGAGCAAAGAGAGTACTGACAGAGCCCTCACTGAAATCAGACAGGAGGAGAGGAACAGGTGTGTGCGCGTGTGCGAGTGAGACAGTGTTATAGTTTGCTCTGACTCCTCTGAGTCAGGGGCTGAAGGGCCTGATCTGACAAACTGTCAGGCTCAGGGCATAGAGAAATTAAAGTATGATAGGATAGAGAAGAACCAACTCCTAGAATTATAAAGGGATAACGTTTAAAAGTGTAACAAATACAAATTACATTCTTGTTCATGTAAGCATCTAATTTCTTTTGTATCTATTTTGGTAATAAAGCACTCTTTATCCAGTAAGAGCCAAAAGGGTCTGTCTAGTTTGTTGCTATCCCTAAAGAGAACCTATGACAAGACTGTACAATTTTAATCTCCATCTTCAAGAAAAAATACTGAACAAAAGGGGATGAAGAAAACTCCTCTCCCTGTTAAATCTGAGGGTCTTTGGTGTGATCTGTATGCTGTGGAGGCACCGCTGTTCTGCTGATGCCTAAATGTGCACATACTTCCTTGGCATCTTAGAAAAACAATCAACGATACCAGAACTTTTGCATAGATTTAAGCAGTCAAAGTAAGATATTCTGCACTGAAAATGCCATCTGTGATAGTGAAACCATGGGAACTATCAGGTCAACTGACTGACAGAAGCATGAAAATATAGGCTACAGATAGCAGAAAACAACCCTGATAATAGCTGATTTTATTAATAGTAGGTTCATCTTTAAAAGCTTCCTAAATGGAGGCTAGTTTTGCTTTTACAAAATCTGAGTGACCTTGATGTTTCTTTTGGCACTAAAATAAACCTAACAACCCTAATCTGAGTTATGTTCTTGATATAATTCTAAGACCCTGATGTTGATAAAGTGTAAAAGAAGTTCACAGGAAGATATAACTTCTCTGAGTGCAGTTCAAACAATCTGGGTTGAGACAGTAAAGCAGAGGGCTCAATGCTACGGACAGGCAAATTCAGGTAGAGCACAAAATTGGGGGAATTGCGCCAGACCCCTACAATTTCTTGTATTTCCTCAAGAGGCTGCTCAAACCTAGCTTTGCACTCTGAGAAGTCTGTGTAGCCTAAGCTTATGCAATAAGAACTGTATAATTTAGATCAGGTTTCAGAAGTCTTTCATTCCATGTTCTGTCACTTGAAAATAATAGGTTTACCTTATCAAAGAATCAAAAAAGGCTTACCTTATCAAAGAATCTGCTGAGCTTGACAGCATTGGAGGAACCTGCAGCCAAGTAACGAGGACTTGTACAATCCTGAAAGACCAAAAATTTAATTTTCTCCTGGGACTCATTGACAGACAGTCCCTAAAAAGCATAGAGGGGTTTTGAAGTGTGAAATACAAGCATGTGTTCAAACCAAGTTACTGTTGCAATGCCCGCATGTCAGGCATTTCTCACAAAATACTTTTTCCAATATGAGTAATCACTAGGAAAGGCAAGGATCGATCATTTTTCCTACAAGCCAGAAAGAACGCTATAAAACTTCTTTTGGGGCGGGGAACACATTCAGAATACCCCCCCTTTTTTAAACTACTCAAATAGAACATGATCTACCTATTGCTTTCAGATAATTAAAGAGAACATCAAACAACTGTCATTAGTTCCTGAATATCTGAATCTCTGGATATTTTTTAAGAAATGAAACTATGTTTGTCTAGCTGCTGTTTTAAATTAACTAGAGAATACTGACTTTCCTAAAACTTCAATTCTGTTTTCTCTTTCATTCTCAACTAGCAGCTCTTCATAACTTAAACATAATATTCCTTCTTTAATTCTTTTTTTACACTTAGCATCTTCATTTGCACATTCATTCCACCAAATACAAGGTGAAGCAAAATTTTACTTTCAAACCCAAGGGTAACAGTCTTTGTCTCAACAGAAATAATCAGTGTTCTTCCTTTCAGCAGCTTAATGCATCTACCAGATTGCAACCTTGCTCCCATTCCTGCTGTACTGATACCTGATTTTGTCAGTAGCAATCAATAAACTTGTTGCCCCAGAAGACAGAAAACCTGAACCCTCCACCCCAGAATTACTTATCAAAGACGGAGCAAGTGCATCTATATACCACCATGTATGTGACACACTTATTTGGGCACGTGCTATCAATGATCACTCTTCATCCAGACAGCCAGTGTGTTATAGTGGTGAAGGTGTTGGACTAGGAGTGGTAAAACCCAGGTTCTAATCCTCCCTCAGCCATGGAAGCTCACTGGGTGCCTTGGGCCAGCACCAGTTATTCTCTCTGAGACAACACAGAGTGTTGTCATTGTAGAGCAAACTAGGAGGAGGGAGAGCTATATATGGCACTCCTGAATGAAAGGAATAATATAAATCAAAAAGTTAACTTTTTGCACATATATCTATGGTTAATGTACAACTGTTAAATAGCTCTGTTACTGTACAAACATGGACATAAAACAGTTCATAAGGCCTTCATATGCAACTGTTAATTGAAATCTGTGGTATCCTTCTTGTTATCACTGATAACAAGTATCTTTCTGAGGGAGTGGGGAGAGGTTGGTTGCTAATAGGAATCCAGATAACTAAATGGTAAGTACCGGAATTCCTCTATGGCATTCTGTTAGCAATTTTTAAAAAGCCCATGAAATTGTTCCCATCTCCCTTATATATATAGTTCCCAACTTTGAGTACTCTGATGCTATTAGCTTGCTATTTCAAGAATGTATAATAACCAAGGTTGGGAATCCCTGAGCAAAACATACAAAATGTAAGAATAAATGTAAGCTTAGATTTCCATGGTAAAAATTAATATCTAGACCTATAAACACACCTGCAATGAGCGCATTAATATCAATTTTAGTTAATATTGATTTTATTTTTATGCCTTCCTTCTCCCAAAGAAGCTGAGAATGGTATACTAAACAAATAGCAACCTTCAATTAAAACAAAACCAACAATAATAAAACGACGTATCTTAAAGCATGGCAATAAAAAGGACAGGTACTGACAGTGAGACCTGAGATTTCAATGTGTTGAAGCACAGGTCCTGGTTGACAATTGCTTGGATAAAGGAATCTGAGTGACTGAGATTGTTATGCCTGGATCTTCTTTCTCCTGGATCTCCAGTGTGGTTAGAGCACACCAATCTCATACAGAATGACATTCTGTACAAAACTAAAGATGGCCTTGATGAAGGTCATTCAGTGGAAGCTGTAGCCTAGGGTTTACAAGGCTTGGATTTTTCAACCTCCTGGCATGCAGCTATAAACATCTTGGGAAAAACTGGGTTTCCTGACTAAAGGGAATCAGTCTGTAGGGCAGAGACCATGGTGATGTACTACTTCAGGATTATGAAGGACTTCTGGGCAGTTGTTAGCTACTTTCATCCTCTCCATGTTGTCTTGCATAGTATACACATTCAGAGAGGAAATGGTGGAAAGATGCAGAGGAGATCCTTGGGCCTGTTCAAGATATCTGAGGTTATGGCTCCCTCTGGAGGGAACTGGAAAACAAATTGGCTCAGTTTATGGTTAGCTGGAAATACAAGTAAGCCTACTAATGGGATCTCAAACCTTGTGGGGATCTTGTGAAAAACCTATGGATGAATTCATAGTGTAAGATTTAAAGCTCTGGATTTGTTCTGGAGAAAGATACAGGAGCTGACACTCTGGCCATTCCAGCATTCTTGAGGTCTTCCTCATGAAGGACTGGGGCTTAATTCTGCTTTGTTATGACAAATGTGCTTAAGATGTATTGTTCTCTGTTAAGGAGAAACATGGTAGTACATATTAGATGTCTGAATTCAGGAAGAGCTAGTCCAATCACTGTTAACCACCAGAACCATTTATACTGTGTTTGTAGTCCATTGTTGTCCAGGGACCCTGAAACATCTAGCCCAGGCAATCACACACCAAGAAAGCTTACATTGGTGGTGTTTAGGATGAGTGCTGACACCTCCCAGATGAATTCTTACTGTCTAGTGTCTGGGACATCTATTATCTGAAGGACTATTTCAGGTGCAAGCTTAATTTTATCATGATGCCCCACTTTCATATCTTTACGTAAGAGAAAGAGTGCTTACTGTGGCTAAATGGAACATCATTCCCCAAGATTAAATTAGGCCTGTCCCTGTTGGCCTTTCATAAGGCCTGGAAAACTTGGTTTTGTGCCTGAGCCTGGAGTCCTGGGCATGGGTTAGAGCCTGTCTCCTGGCTGTATGGATGATAGGTTACATTATGCCCGGCTGCTATGTGTTTCTATTTTTATTTGTTTTTATATTGTGTATTTTATGTTTTTTATTTGTTTTACTTGTTTTATTGTAAGCTGTCTAGAGTCATGCAAAAGGGAGATGGGTGGCTATATAAATTGAATAAATAAATAAATAATTTGAGGTGGATCATGAACTGAGTCCGTGCATAATGTCTTGGGACACTGGAGGGGTCAGGGTTGATTGTTTGGCATATGATACTAAAGTCAGGTCCTGCATTTAGGCAGGAAAAACCAGATGCTCAGGTACAAGACAGGCAGTACCTGGCTCAACAGAAGTGCCTATGAGAAGGATCTAGGTGTCCTGGTGGACCACTGCTCAAGTATGAGTCAGCAGTGTGCTGCAGCTGCCAAAAAAGCCAGCGCAGTCCTGGCCTGCATCAACAATATCAAGATCAAGGGAAGTGATAGTACTGGTCTACACCGCACTGGTGAGGCCAAATTTGGAATAGTGCTTCCAGTTCTGGTCACCACAATACAAAAAAGATGCTGAGGCCCTAGAAAGAGTGCAGAGAACAGCAACAAAGATTATAAAGGTCTGGAGGCTAAATCCTATGAAGAATGGCTAAAGGAACTAGGTATGTTTCGCTTAACGAAGAGAAGACTGAGGGGAGACATGATAGCAGTCTTCCAATATTTGAAGGGAAGAGGGCATCAATTTATTCTCCATAGCCCCTGAGGGTAGAACAAGAAACAATGAGTGGAAGTTCATCAGAGGAGATCCAACCTGGAAATAAGGAGGAATTTCCAGGGAAGAACTATTAAGCAGTGGAACAGTTTGCCTCCTGGAGTTGTGGGCGCTCCATCACTGGAGGATTTCAAGAAAAGATTGGACAACCATTTGTCCGAGATGGTATCAGGACTCCTGCCTTGGGCAGCGGGTCAGACTAGAAGACCTCCAAGGTCCCTTCCAACCCTGTGATTCTATGATCTTATATCTTTTGAGCCAGACTGATCTTGTTTGAGAGTCAGAATGACTCTCAAATCCCCACTGCTTGTAGGCTTCACAAAGAAAATTGTTGCAGCACTCTGAGAACTATTCTGCTGGTGGAACTGGTTTTATGGCCTTGATTTTCAGCAGATGATTGATCTAAATCTGGAAATGCTTTTCTGTTGCAACTTGGGGGAAAATATAAATGTATATGTCTTGGAATTCTATGGCATAGCCACAGGCAACTGTGAAGCACCAAGCGTCTATGATGAGAGGGATTAGTACTGGATAAATAGATATAACTTGTCCCCTACTACTGCATCTCTTTATAAAATTGGGAAGGATCAAAGCACTGACTGGAAAGTTGCTCTGTGGTGTTAGGTGCTCCATAATTACACTCTTTGGTCCTGTCCGTTGGAGCAAAGGAAAAAAAACAACTTAAAGGTACTCTCCAGCCATAATAGAAAATGAGGAGGATTTATTTCAAGGAAATGACTATTCCCTGAAATAGGTTCATGGCCAACAATAACATTAATCCAAGCTGACAAAATAAAGGATAACACAAACCAGATTGATTTCTTCTGCACTGAAATCCTCAACCAGAAAAGCAGTTCTGCTCAAGACCTCATTGCGTTTTGTCTCTGGGATTTGGTCTAATTTTGTTCCTATGACAAGCAGTGGAATCTGGTTATCAGCAAACTGTTCCCGGTCATAGTCTCTGTGAAGGAAAGTGAAGATATGTAGGTCAATAAAGCAGCGCATGAAGGGTTGCAGGTGGCACACTAGCTGCAGTTGCCCAAATACACTCCTTGCCACAGCTGTCACCTGAAAATCCGCTCTTTCTCAGGGAATGCAACCCCATCTTTAAGATGCTTCACCCCAATTCCTGAGCCCAAGTCATGTCTGCATTTAATTTCAGGATGGTGATCAAGCATGAAAAGTAGAAAGTATCACTGAGGAAAGTGACAAAAATAGCAGCAGCAGCACCCTTCAAATTAGCACAGAAGATATTTTACAGAAAGAATAAGGGAACTTCATGCCTGGTAGGAATGTCAACCTATCATTTAATCATTTATTAAACTTATGCCTGCTTAAGAGCCCTTACATCACAATATAACAACAATAAAATCAAGGATGGATATTGCAAATGGAAAGTAGATACAATATAAATGTACAAGGTATGCTTAGGAAAATCCAGTGTCAGCCCTTCAAGGTAGGCTAGATTAAGAAACAGACATTGCAAGGATTCCAGAAATGATACTTTATTGGGGCAGTATATAGGAATTTTGAAAGCCTGTCCAGGTTTCTCTTAGTCCCATCTTACACTGAACAAAATCAAGATGTGGTTATTTTGAGTTTCTTTCTCCTGCCTCCTTCTATCTCTGGATTGTGTAATCTCTTGATCAGGTCTCTTTTTAATGGATTGCTCCTTCCTGCTGCTCTTACCACTCTCTCATATCTTCCCTAAGGCTAGTTCTGGGTTCCTTTACATCAAGATGAGTTCTAGAAAGCTATACATACAGTATATTAACTCTTCCATTGCAAAGGCATGGGTCTGATTATCTCTATGCTGTAAGTCTGAAATGTAACCTAGTAGAATTCAATTTAGTACAATTTCTGTAAACTACCCAAACACCCAGAAAAAAGCAATCATTTGCCCTAGCATTTCACTTCTGCTTAAAAGATTAAAATAGGTCAAGTTGATTTCATCTCTAGTCTTCAACATTCTACAATCTGACAGTGGGATAAATGGGCTACTTTTTTCTCATGCTGGTAAGTGCTCTAGAACTTTAGCATGCTCATATTCTCCTATCTCTGAATTTCCAAAAATCTGGGGAAAAGAGCCTGTTCCTGTTATTTTTTAATTATATACTTTTCACTGTTAAAATGTATTCAATGCAAAGCTATGAATCATTTTTTAATGAATTAGGTGTTGAGTTTGTTTAGGAGATAAATTCTGACTAGCCATGAACATTAGCCAAAATGTATGTATTTTTCTCCTTTTACTTTGTAAAGTTGAATATATTTAGATATAGTTTTGCTATTAAAATTGTGGATCACTCCCACTCTTCATGCATGAAACATATGCTATGACTTTCATATACTCTTTAAGGGCAGATTTCTAAACAAAATTTTGCTAATTGATTACTAATCTAGAGGAGGTGGAGCATTTTCTTTTTACTGGTACAGAGACAGAAAATAGCTTACTGTTCAGAAGTAATACACATTTTTCACATTTTTAAAATCTTACAACATGTCATCCCTCCATCTAATTAACATGATTATAGCAATGATAGTGGTGACTGTATATTCTGCCTACTTACCCATTTGTCACCAGGACGCTAGATGGAGTTACATCTCTGTTGAGAGCTTCCAAAGACCATCGATACAAGTTTTGGGAAGACTTTTTGTTGGTTAAATCATGCACTAAAATTATGCCTAGGTGAGAAAAAGGTCATACATAAAGAATGGTTTTTTTCCCTAAAATCATCAAAAGCAGAAGGAAAGACATAGCAATTATAAAAAAGAAGCCAGGTCCCAAAAGAGTACAAAAGTGAAAGTATTTATTCAGTCTCTCATTCAGGACAGAATCAGAGTGAAAGCAAACCAAGGTTGATTTTAGAAGTAAAGAAGAAGACAGTTAGAAAAACCAACTCTGCCTAACAAACAAGGTTATAAAATAAATTATGAGGCATTATGAAGCAATCAGGCATTATGAAGCAATCAGATAGGATAAGGGAAGATGATGGGATTAGCTGCATGACAAAAAAATCCATGCAAAGAAACAGCCAGGAACTATTAAGGCTTGAACTGGAAGGGTTTTGGTATGGATACGACAGCACTATGTAGTGAACCACAGAACTGAGTGCTCCAACGTTTGTGTAGGCAGTTAGATACTCTTCAGTTCCTTGACTGCTCTTCCCTTCTTGAACCAGAAGGACTATAAGAGTGTTTCCTGCCCCAAACAAGTTATTCTTGCACTGTATTGAGTTTTGATCCTGCTTCCTGGTTATTCTTTGGTTTTGGTTTATACTTTGGTCTTAAGTTCCCACACAAAAATAAATGTTCTTAGGTCTAACATCCTGGAACAATTCCACTTCTAATTCTTCAACTACTATAGTGATTGGCTATAGAATCACTAGCTGGTGTGTATGGATTCAGTCCTTTTTCAGATGAGGATACAACTATTTCAGCAATAAAAATTATGTTAAAGCTGATTTGTTCTGGAATACTAGAAAGTTAAAAAAAACAAAAAACTTTTAAAAACTGATCAAAGAAATAATAGCAACAATTACTTTTCCTTTCCCATCTCTTGTTTTGTTTTTTAGTTTAAGTGTGAGAAAAGGTCTTTTTTTATTCTACTTTTATAATTCCCAATAGCAGAAGTTCTCAAAATGATGCATTACAGTTAAAACATACAAAAATTAAGCTATATAAATCAATACAAGAACTTACACAGAAAACAGCACAATTTCCTCAGCATGTCACAATTAAAAATAAAGTAAAAATCTACAATAACATGGCTGGAACAGGGAATTCCACCACGGCTGGAATATTACTAACCATGGGATCTAACTTACAATAGATGTGAGCAACTTATTTTCAAAAGAATAAAAGGAAAAGAAATAAGAGGAACAAAGAAAGACAAAGAAGAGGAAAAACTTTAAGAGCAACTTAAATCTTTGCCAAATTTAATTTAAGGTGGCAGGAATACATCTAGCTGGAAATTCTAGTAAAATAGTTGGAAAGAGAAGACCATACTGCATCACTGAAGACAGGACCAGACAAATACATCTGGATGTACTTCTTCTGAAATGAAGAAATAAGAGAACCCAGAGGCAACGTCAACAAAGTAAACAAAAGTGTCCTTAAGACTGAAATCTAAGGGACACCCACAGATAATGGAAAAAGCTGAGAGCAAAGTTTCATAACCCCCCTCCCCCAACATGCAATAGGAAATACAGAACTGAATCCAACAAAAAACATATGTATCACTGACACCAAAGGAGCTTAAAGGAGATAGAATTTCTTGATTGAGGTGGTCAAATACCATGGACCAGTCTACCAGAACCAATACTGATTTGCCCTAGCCACTACCAAATTATCAAAGGCGCACCCAGTGCTGACTTGGTAGAATAGCCCATATGAAACCCAGACTGAAAGGGGCCAGTGAGGTTATTTAACTGACAAACAATGAAGAAGCTGAAAGAGAAAAACTAATTCAATAATCTTAGACAAAAAAGAATGGATGAAAACTAGAACAAACTGAACCATTCAACAAACCTTTAAAAAAAAAGAGAGAGTAATGATAGGTATATTTCTGGCAGTCTGGAAAAAATGCTGCCATAAGAAAACAGTTGATCTGTGTAGTTAAAAATGACAGAAAAGATGTGTGAAGAAAAGAAGGAAAAGGGCTTGTAATACAGGGAGCTTCTGAAACTATTTTAGCTACCATTGCTTCAGTAACTAGAGAAAATAAAAATCTAGAGGAAGAAGAATTTGGAGCACCAGACAGAGTGCATAAGCCCTGCATAGAGATGGGCAACTGGAGCATCTTGATTTTAGACAAAAAAGTTCTCAAATGTAAATAGCAATCCACTGGCAATGATGACAATAAAAGAGACCTGAGCATAGCAAAAAGGTGTCATGGGGACTGGACTTGAGCTGAAATTAGATTCTGGTAATTTTGCTTGGCTTGTTCCAGCAATACAAAGAATCAGTAAACGCTGATGAAAGGAGCCCCCAGCAGATGTCTCCTTTCTATATTTCTGTTTGAGTTTATGTATGTAAGTTTGAACTTTCTGCAAATCCAGAGGGAGCCATAGATAAAAGCTCCTTTTCAAGAAAAACTTTTCAAAGGCTGGCACTAAACAAATCAAATATGGCTCAGTGGAAAAATTAATGGCCATTGTCACTGCCTTAGGTGATTCAGTTTTAGATGAAATCAACTGAAAATAAAGAACCAATGCAAATGCAAAGACATAGAATGGATCAGTCTAACAATAAATCTGGAAGCATGCCTTGAAGAGAAATATTTACAATAAAGTGGTTAGATTAGGTTCCATTGAATAAATCACAAAATGCAGACTGCAAATCCTTAGCCCAAATTAAATCAAGGATGTTACCATGGGAATGAACAAGGGGAGTCTCTAACACCTTTAGGTCAAAAGAAGTTAATAGTAAATTAGCATCCTTACCAAGTTAGAGGAAATATCAGAAACAGTGAAATCCCCAAGTAATAATAAGGTACAGGTAGTCCTCACTTACTGACCACAATTGGGAATGGCAACTCTGTTGGTAAGTGACATGGCTGTAAAGTGAAACATCACATGACTGCACCCAACTTATGTCAGTTCCAGCTGCAGTCATTAAGTGAATCACTGTGGTTAAGCGCTATGTCACATGACTGTGACTTCTGACTTCCTGCCAGCATCCCCACTGACTTTGCTTGTCAGAAGCTGGCTGTGAAAGCTGCAAATGATCACATGATCATGGGATGCTGCAACTGTTGTAAATGTATGCCAGTTACCAAGCACCTGAATCATGAACATGGGGATGCTGCAACAGCCACAAGTTTGAGGACTAATTGTAAATCTCCTTTTTCAGCACTGTTGTAACTTTGAACGGTCACTGAATGAGCAATCGGTGAGGACTACCTCCGTTTTTTCTTATGTCAATATTATTTAAAGCTATTTTATATTTTTAACAGTATTTTACTAGATGATCTGGATACTGAAGCAGAAATGTACCATCTACAGTCCCTGAAAGCTTTGAAAGTAGCTTATGGAGCCCTTAAAACATTTTTACCAAATTATAATTTAATGTGATAAAAATGGGACATTACTAAATTCATGGGGAATAAACAAATCAACTACATACAACTGAAACTGAAATTAAATTAAACCTTATTTAATTTCTGACTTGTCCCAGCCCAGTTTCTGAACTATAGGCATTCAAATGTAAATGTAAATTGTGCATCAATTCAAGCAAAGTCCCAATGTAAGTTGCATGATGAGATACAAGAAGTAATTGTAGCTGTCCTATCGCACAATGTACTGTTCTGTAAGGCATGCTGGCCAATGTAGCTCAAAGTTCTGGCAGAAAGAAAGGAAGGACATTGAGGCAAAAATCAACCCACTATCAGTATACATTATACATCACTTGTAAAGAAAAGCAAACAAAAAAAAAATTATCATACTGATAACTGGATTGCGAATATTGTCAGATCTATACATGGAATTGCACAAAACCCCTGGATGATCACCAATGTTTGGTAACAATTCACATGCTAGTCCTAATACAAATTTAGAACGGAATGCCATTAGCTCCAGTTATATGTAGCCAAAGATTAAACAGACATCTGATAGGAACAGCTGGTGTTCTTCTTTGATACTGGGTATTTAGTTCTTTAATAATCTCATGAATATAAATAAAGAATGGCCCAGAAACCTTTACGGGATTTATGCTATGGAGAACTTTTCAGACTCTTGCATCCTTATATATGTGGCATCCATACAGATACAGAATAGAAATAAATCCATTAATTTAATCCATTGCAAACTAGAATTTAATGGATTTCAAATAAATATTATGAATAATAAATATACCCAGAAAATAGTTCAGGAAAAAAGTTAAACAAATTTGTCAGCACTTGCAGATATCTAGGAAAGTGTTTGAATATCTAAATTCAGCCAATAACTGTTCTTTAATGTCAAATTCTTGTTTGCAATATTTAGGGAACACAGTCTGCATAAATCAAACCATGTTCTGTAGAATGTAACAGATCTTAAAAGTACATCCATTACCATTAACTGAATTGTAGAACATAAGACGTGTGCTTTTCACACTACTAGCACTGCCTACGGAGCCACCAATATCCCATAATTCAATGAAATAAATCTTCTCCTCTGGAGTTCCTTCTTTGTAGTCATGAATCTGGCAATGAGAAACCAAATAGCATAAATAAAATTAAAATAACAATAAATTAAAACCTGCATTCCAGGTACATAACATTCCCTGCATAGTGCAGTACCTCTGTAGAACATAATAAAAGTGGGCTACAGAGAGAGCTAGTTGGATTCAGCAATGAGTTTCTAAGAATGCAGCTTCCCTGGCACATGCATGCTATAGTTACCTTCAATATTTTTTTTTCAAATGGTAATGAAGGTAACAAGGTGAAATATTCCTTGTTAGGAAAATTAGGAAATAAGTACTTTCTTAAGGATACTTGTTGTTTTTTATTTACTTGTCTTGGTGAAAAAATC